GCTCAGCACATCACTCTTTAATCACGCACATGTTAATGAGCTGCAATATGTGATGAAGGAAGGGAAATGGAAGCGAGAGTGAAAATGAGAGTGAGGGTGGAGGTGGAGGTGGAGAGACAGACAGTCATGGAGACAGAAATATTTTGAGAACACCATGGTGTCTGAAACAAAGGGAACAAAAATAAGAGAAGATGTGACAGGAGAGGTACAAGGGCAGAAAGGAGAATTTAAAAAGGAACCAGACTAACAGACAGCAGATAGTTTCCCAGCCCTCCCAGCCTTTGTTAACCACCTCGCCTTTGAGGTTCACAATAACCAGACAGGCTGTTGACATAATAGTTCAGCGCGAGGACAGGCAGACTAAAGGCAATCCACTGGGTGTTTGTGACCTATCACACGCGCACATCTTCACATCTGGTTGCCATGACATTCCAGTCAACAGTGTTACTGCTCCTGCACTCTGTAGTCTCCTGAGAGAGGATATTACAGTGAGCAGAGATCCTCCTTTATCAGCACTGTCATCCAGAAGCGCTTCTGATGCACTGTGAATCCCACATCCCCCCGCTGCTCCGTGAGTAATCCCCGATCCCTGACGTCTAAAGTGTCGCTGCAATGATTCCTGGCTGAAACACCCCACCAGAGAATGGGAAACTCTCAATGAAGCATTTGAAATATTTAGTGCGGTAAAAAGAGACGTCTAGTTGCATCTCAATCTCTCCCATATTCTCATCTCTCATCTCCCCTGCCAGTGGGATGCATTCAGAGACCCGGTGCCTCATCTGTAAAAGATGTGTACTGTGAAATGTACTCCCTCTGCCGCAATTACAGAATACAGCCGCAGCACAAACTAGACACAGGGGAATGCGGAGATAGCGACTGAGAATGAAAGAACAGGAGAAAATTGCAGAATTAGAGAAGGGAGGGTGGAATAAAAAGAGAATGGCGGTTGCAAAGAGAGAGAAATAGAGGCAATTGTCTGTCACATGGATGTATAAAAAGAGGACCCGATACAGCTTTGGAGATAAAGCTTTGATCGGGACCAAATAAAACAGGCCTGACCCTTCATGACACTGTGTAGTTCAGTACAACCTCAACCCAGGCCCAAACTATGGCTGAAGCTGCTGGAGAACAGGAGTGATATGATCCATGGAGGGGGTTCTGATAATAATACGGGCGGCTGAGTTCTGGACCGACAGAATTGTCATAATCAATACAAGATGTAACCAAAGAATGAGCGAGCATAGCAGCGCTCTGAGGTGTGAGTGATGGGCGAAGATGATCACTGTTAAGTTTGAGGAGGTTGCGTGAAAGCCAAGATTTAATATCCAGTAAGCACGACATGTTTCCTCGCACCTCCTCTTCTTCTCTGTCTTTTGGTATTGCAAGAGAAGAGCAGGCTGTGCCCATCGGTGCATCTCCATCCTCAAGTGTGCACAGCGGTCCACGGCAGTGCAGCAGATAGATGATGATCACAGCTCATGTTACCCACGTCTCTCTCACTGCTGGAGAAGCAGAGGAAAGCGCTGCCAACCAAGTCACTTTGCAGCCCCTCTCTCTGTCTCTTTTTTCCTCCAGTCCAATGTAACTTTGCCTCTTATGCACGAGAACTGCCAGTTTCATATGTCTACTGTGCACTAGAGTTTGTGTACGGTATGTGAGCAAAGGACTCCTTAACTCTTATGTTTCGTCAGTTAAAATCTAATTCTATGGACCCTTTGAGGTTTGTTAGCTGGAGGCAAAACACGACTCTCCACCACAGGGCTGGAGGCTACATAGGAGTCTTAAAATGTCATCTTGTTGTGTTGTTGGAAGCCAGAATGGGAGTCATCATGGGCCATGGCTCAAAACTTTTTTTTAATCGCATACCAGCCGCCACTGCCCGTCAACAAAAATGAAGACAACTAGGGTTAAATGTGATAAGACAAAAGGACTGGATGGAGGCGATAATCAAAAATGTTCACATGTGTAGCGCACACTTCATATCAGGTTAGGGAAAAGTATTTCCTGTTGTAGGGATGAATAACATGATGTGCATTAAGGGTTATCATGTCCACCTCATCAGAAAATGAGGAGGTATTTAGAGGAATATTGGATTTCTCCGTAATGCTACCTTTTAAGTGCATTAGCTAACATTAGCTTTGATAGCAAAACAAACTGGAGGAAACCCTTCAAGTGTTGTCTTTCTTTGTAAGATTGGCACAGTAGTCAACCACAAAGCTTCCTGTGACATCATCCATCCACTGAGTGAGAGCATACAGGTCAGCCAGTCTGGTCCTGTTGGGCAGTGTATGGTGCGTTTATAAATTCAGTCTGATGCGCTACACCGAAATGAGTGACCTGCTGGTCAAAGAAACGGAGCGATATATTTTAATATGAATTAATGAAAGTATTTCTGAATGCAACACTTGCATCATCTTCCTCCATTGTCTAAAACAAGCCAACAGAACTTGCTAGGTAGCGTTAGCTAATGTCTGTGGAGGATTGTTTTGACTCCAGCTAAGCCCCATCCACCAAAAAACGCCATACTGTTTACTAACAGTAAAAGGGTCTATATCTTAAGATTGTCATTTGTTGTAATCGGTTAAAGGCAACACAGCCCATACGTTACCCATGACATTACTCAGACCAGAAGGTCTGCATAAAAAAATGAACACTTGGAAATTGGTGCAAACCCACGTTGATTCAAGCCCAAGGGAATTTTGAGAGATTAAAGCCCAGTCCAACGCAAACCAGCTCAAGTTGGGCCCAGTCGGGTTCAGGCAGAGAATCAAAGCTCGTTGGAGGTGAGACCCTGTTTGTTCTTATGAAAATTGCTAAATGGCATATTAAGTACAAAAGTTTGACTTCCAGGAATGAAATTACACAGATGTTGCACATTGTAAGGACTTGGAGCAAATGCACGCATGAATTAAGTCCATAATAACTTTAGCTACTAGTAAATTTTGAAAACTTTTATGATATACTGATTTAAGTAAGGGCTGTCTAATTGTTCGTACTGGGAAGCTGTTGTACCTCAAACACTGTGAAATCTCTATCACAATGTAAATCTATGGGAAAAGTCTTTTTGGGTCCCATGGCCTCACACATGACAAAACTAGAAGTTGTAATTACACAGTTTGGCCACTATATCAAATTGGCTTCAAGGCCTGACACTGTTCCTGGGGGCATAGTCTGTCTGCTTAGATTTACACATCATATCCCAAAATGGCGAAGCAGCCTCCTCTTGTTTTTTTGTGTTATGATTTCTGGGTTTTTGGTGACGTCAGGATCACAGTGATTGTGGTTTTTTTTTTAATGTCTGTAGTGTCGTTGTCTCTGTTAGGAACTTTTTCATGAGAATTCAGTGATCCTCCACTGTATTTGACTCATTAGATTATTTGTGCTGATGTTTCTTAGCATTGAGACCATTTGTGTCATAAACCCTGTTGCTCCACGTTACAAAAAAAGATATTTAGGTCTTTGAAAAACCTTTCTCTTTAGATTGTGGTATAACAATACATGTTGGTCTCAGGTTTTAGCTCAGTTTTCAGTTAAATGAAACAGGAAGCCCTCGTCCTGTTTTGTGCTCGTAAGCATTTGGCCTTGATGCTATCAAGTGATAGCATGACAGGAAAGTGTAGAGGTGTATCTATGACTTGACAAGCCATTCATTAGATTTCCCATGAAATCTGACCCACTTTCATACAATAAAAGGCAGCAGATTTCATTTGTAGTTGTAGCAATGTCTCAGAGTGAACGTGGTAAAGATATACTGAAGTTATAGAGCTACATTCATGCATCCATCCATCGCTAAACGCTTTGTAAAAGACAAGCAAATGTACAAGAATGTTATCTATATAAACTTTAATCACAGTGAGGTAAGGGCTTGATTTACATCAGGGACTATTTGATCAAAGTCCGTCTGATCACACCTGGCATTGGAATGTGTCTCCACGTGCAGCTTGAGTTAACACTTATGTTTGGATCTCATTTCCCCTCTCTATATGCAAATTAATCCAACATCTATTCTATTTGCAAAGACTAAATGAGAAGTTGTCTTTAACTGGCGGGAGGTTTGTTGAGCGATATGCACATCTAAGCACCAATGCATTAGTTTGCCTCGTTAGGACGGACTGCAGGAGACTGTGCAGTGTTTCCCATACATTAATTCATTTGTGGCAGCCCACCACAATTTGAACACTGACTGCGACATATTGAATTTCTTTTGTTTCACTATTTAAAACAGATAATTTTTTTTTTTTGTTGTTGTTGTTGTTGTAGAGCTGCACGCAGCGTATTGATTCACTCAGCTTCCCCTTGCCATGCTCTTTCTCTCTGTTTTTGGTAAGACAAGCTAGTGCGCCCCAAGCTCTCTTTGCCTGAAGGAGTGTTAGCTCCACACCTGGGACAGTTGGTGAGAGACTGCCCACACGCACACAGTGACAGGGCTAACTGTTAGCTTCCCACGGCTAATGTTACCTAACGGTTAGCAACAGAGTCGAACCATTTTGGTGTAAGTTTGTTGGGACCTTTTAACAGCTGCTGTTTTGTTTGTGACGTTGAACTGACCATTTGCCCAACAACAGTGCCTCCAGAGACAGTCCTTCAGTGCTGCGTCTAACCTCTGTAATGGCAGCAACAGAAAGTTTTCTGATCTGGTGGAAAGATATATAAACTAGGACATCAGCTGTGTAGGCAGTCCTTCAGAGTGGCCCAGGACATGTAAGCGTACACACTACTGAAAGAATGTGGCCATATGCAGCTCAGGCCACCTCCGAACGTGGTCTAAGCAAACAGATCTCAAGAAGCATCGAGAATGAATTGGGTGCAATCATGCCTGTACTTAAAGCTGTCCACTTGTGATTGGATCACCCAAAACTCATGTTAATATCAGGTGTAAACAGGGTCAAACAATTAAGAAGTAAACAAGATTACTTATTTAGACAGACACTGCATATTTTGGCCTGTAACAAAGTATTCTAAGTATTATACCTGGGTGTCTTGTGTTGTGTGGGCTGCAGGTTGGGTGTGGATGATCGGTCCCTGGAGCGCTCTCTTGCAAAGGCAGGATGTGAGGTCCACTGCTTTGATCCCAGTCTGAAGCAGCCTCACCTGCAGCATGCTGAAATGTGGCTCCATCGACTCTCTGTAGACTGGAGGGATCCCAACCCGGCTATCGTTGCCCAGCGTCAGTACGCCAACACCAAGAAACTGGCCACCATCCTTAATGACTTTGGACACAGACAGGTGAGTGGTTCAATATTATGCAACATGGTCTCTGGCTATAATATAACACCTGTGAAGGATTCTACCATCAATAAATCACCTGGAATAGTGGAAAGTGATTTTTTTCTTCCTGTGTCAGCGAAGAGGATTTACTTACGCTGCATGCATGCAAACACAGGCCCCTTCCTGTGCACCCCAACATAACACAGCTCATCATGAATCATTCCTCTGTTGTCAGTCTCAGGCTCCAGGTGGATAAACACCCATATATAATTTTGTTTAATATTATCATGCTGAATGTTACCTCTTCAAAGCCCCCCAGGGATTCTGTTCCACCTCATCAGATAGGGATCTGCATACAAGATCAATCATACACACGCACCAAGCCCACTGATAGCATGCATACTAATAAACACAGTTATAGATCCGCTGAACACGCCTGTTTCGGAACAGGCTGAATGATAATTCAAGGTCATAGAAGCCAAGCTTCTTTTACATAGGTAATCAAGTCAGTGCTGTATGACAGACAGGCTCTTCTCTCTCCTCATGGCAAAGATTACAGACAGAGCGTTTATAGTCTGTCTAATTAAATGACTGGATTCAATGAAAACCCCTTTTTATGCGATCATAGCATCTTGCAGAATATTCTCATGCCATAAAGCAAGGTAAGGAGAGTTTATTTATGAGCGCATTCCAGCAACAACGCAATTCAAAGAGCTCTGCATAAAACATCAAAAGCATCAAGACGAGTTCATAAGAAAATGGTGTGTATAAAAATGAATCAATTCTAGTGGAAATAGAAGCTGTTTATGTGCTGTTGTTTGGGCTGTCAGTATGCTCTGGAGTCTTCTTTTGCTGATTCTCCCACTCAGAGTCAAAGTCAGAAATGTTTGTATCCTACACATAAGGTCTTTGAATTCATTGTTGATATTTAATGTCCCCAGAGGCTGGATCCTGATGTTTTATTGTGACCCGTGATCTTTTGTCTAGTGCCACCATTAGGCCAAAACTTTCACTTATATATACGAACATCAAAAGCTAATGGGCAGACTCATGAAAATGAGCATGTTCTCACTCCCCATTTGATTAACTCTTTCCAATGTGGGGCTCCATGAGGTTCCACTGACACCAACGTCAGACCAAAGTGTCTGCTTGACATATAAGACATCTCATTATTGGAGAGAGAGTTTGCCACGAAATTTGCAGAACACATTCCTGCTCCCATGAAGATAAACCATTTTCATTTCAATCCATGTCCATGTCTTTCGTCCGGTGCCACCACAAACTCTATATTTTAACCTCACTATTGTTGAGCCTCTAAGAATAAAAAAATATTGTCATTAGGTGGTTTACATGGGCCCTAATATTCAGTAAATAATCAAAACATTAGCCCACTCAGAATAAAAACACTTCACATAACCACCTCAGTAGAAAGAGACTAGTCTGAAGAGAAGGAATTTCAATCAGGTTGAGAACAGTTGGTGTGAACCTTTGATAATCCTTTCAACTGAAAATATTAGCATCTAATAAGCATGTAAATGCTTAATACAATCAATTCTCTCTGGTCATAATAAATATATTCTGTCTGCACATATTTACCCTGAACTGAGGTCAAATTAGGTGATGTAGTGTGCCACATACAACATGCCGCAATAATTATTTCTCTGCACCTCCCTTTGCTGATTTTGAAAGGGAATCGCTAATAATGAGAAAAAATGTTGCGCTCTGCTAGTACTACTCTGATTAATAAATGGGTTGTTATGTAACACATTGCCAAGTGGCTGGTCATAATAGTCAGAATATGTTTAGGGAACATCAGTAAATTGTTGCGTCTATCGATACTCTGTGTGGGAGGTGTTTTGGGGACATCTAAGTTAAGTTACTTGCTTAAATGCATTAACAAGTGAAACATATTAGTCTCATTATATATTTTATGTATTGAATTAATGGAATTTTTCAATAAAGTCGGAAAATCCTTTTTTGTTGTATTTCTGGCAGATTTGATGCTTCACAGCCTGCAGAAAAACTTTGCAAGATGCTTTGTGGCATTTAAACGTACATCTTATCAGTTACTTTATTTGCATTCATGTAAACGGTTACGTTGAAATCTCTAGTCAGAAGGATTTCAGTTGGGCTGAAGAAATATTGTCCATGTACTGCGAAACTTCAAATAAAAGCCTAGTCCCAATGAATGCCCAGTCTCTTTTACTAGCCCATGTGGCTACACATTTTGACGAATAAAGGCCTGTCTCAAATAGGTGCCTGGTCTGGTCGCCAAGTGGATCATTTTTTTAATACAAGTTCTTTGGATGTATAAAACCGGGTTGTTGGTTACCTCAAATTATGTGTCCATTCTTCAATTACCCTGTAAGTTATTCATATTCCTTTAGTTCATCAGGGTCCTCAGATCTAGTCCTCAAGTGCTGTCTCTTTGGCACACTGTCTGTTGGAGCTAGATCAAATGAATGATTCATAATTGATATATTATCTGAAGCCTAATTTTTACACAAGTAATATTAATTCTTGTTTAAATTAAAAAAAAAGATTGTATTTCCCATCTTTGCTGAGCAACAGTTTTGTGTGAAAGGAATTAAAGGCCTGTCCCAAATATAGGCCTGTTGATTTCAGTGATTTAAGCAAATAATAGCTCGGGCTACTAATTCAAGATTTATGGTAACTGCAGCCATTGTTTTGTTTGTTCATTCAGCTACTAAGGGGCTGCTAGGAAGGCTGTTTTGTTATGATTGGCTCCAGAAAAATTAGCTAAACCTGTATAATTAATCTTTGTTTTCTACCTGTTCATATAAGAAGACTTAAATCAAAGGAAATTTAAATCGAGCCATCTGGTTCCATTGTATTCGTGAGAAGGCAGACATCTCTAGGATTGATATTTTCAACATTCACACCCAAACAATGTAGATTGATAGCATTGCAGGTAAGAGGAAAAATATCTGTTTTGATTTTGTGACGATCTGTCCCTTTACATCAGCTTCTGGAGCAGAATGCCTACACGTTGCTGGATGATGTGTTGCTATAGCTTGTGTAAATTGAGTTGATAATTCTTTTTCTAGAGCCAAAAGCAGAGCAGGCTGCCTCATACGAGGGACTTGGAAAGATATTAACATGTTGTCAGTGTGTGACAAGATATGAACAAATAACCATTGGTGCGTGTCTGTGTTTATGTGGGTGGGTTTGTACGCCAAGCCGTTTCATAGATGACAGTATCCACCTGCTTTAAATGCACAGACACGCACACATCCTTGTAATGAGGTTTTAATGTGAGTACATAGTGTGCCGGAGGAGCAAACAGCAGAACAGTTTCTTATCAAAGGCTCTCGCCCAGCCTCTGTGACAGCAAAAGCAGCAGTGAAGAAACACAGTCACTCGTAAAGGTCGAAATATGCATTTGTGCAGCATTTCTTATCTGTGTTTGTTAAAAACTACACAGATGACTCATTCTCGGAGCTCTGGTGACCAGCTGAGAAAGCAGACACTGTCACCACGGGGACAAATGTCAGAAGCAGGAAGTCACATCTCATTTATGGAAAGTAACTGCATATTGGACCATTGATCATGTCAGTAATTGGACAGTGCAACAGTATCAGCGTTGCCCAGCGGTACGACCACACTTAATTAAATGAGGTACTGCCAAATTACAAAGAATAGAAAACAAGTACAACATACAGTCTATCCATCTAACCTTTTCATTTCAGTGATCCGCATACATGTTGCTGTGGCAAACCCGCATACATCTTTGGATTTCTCCATATGAGACCTCTTTGCTTCTCTGCGGATTAAATGACTCTTATGGATGACGGTGTTTTATAGGAACCCAACTAACAAGACAAAGGAGCCTATCTCACTCACAGCGCAGTGCCACTGTCATTGCTAATTTCTGACCAATGCGGTTGTCATTTTCACAGCCAGCACCCAAGTTGTGAAAGTAGCAAATGTACTTGCGTGCATGGGCATGTACGTCAATGAGGTGTGCTCATGTGTACTGTTGGTGTGTTGCTATTTTAAGGCAGCAGAAAGCATTTGCACCTTTGACCAACAAAAATCTGGCACAGTATTTTTCTGCTAATTAAAGGGCACATTATTAAGACAGTAAGATGCAACTACATGGGCAGCTTCACGATGCACATACACGTGTATGCTTGTTACACACTCAGGGAGGTGTGGATGGGTTAAGAGTGGGTGAAATAATACATCATTAATGAGGAAAATATTAATTAAATTCTCTAAAATGTGAACGTAGCAGAGAGCAAAGCAGAGCTGCAGAGCACCTGTCCAACTCCCCATTAACGCTGCTTTCAGACCTAGAGTTGTCTTGCTTTGGTCTGAATCAGGGGCTGATTTCTTCACAAAGTTGTACAATTGCCTAGAGTTGGTTCGTGTTCTCACGGCAGCATTTACAAGCGGACCAGATCAAATGCCTACACAAGAAAGCTGCTCTTGATTGGTCAGAATTTCCATGTGTGATAAATCCAGGAAGTAAAGCAAACGTTGAAGAAGAGTACACATGCAAGATAAATGTGACACTTTCTAATGTCACAATGGAGGGACAGCTACGCAGGTTGATTTTAGCGCTGCTCATCGTGGACTATATTGCTGTCATTGTTGTGTCATGTGACTGCAGTTGGTTCAGATCGAGGTTGGAACACGTTCTCACCACAAAGGGACCGCACCAGAGTTTGTTTGTAACCAGAGTTTGACCACCTCTTCAAGAAGGTCCTGGTCCGGTTGTTTTGGTGCGCACCCGAGTGCGATTGCTGTGTTCACACCTGCCCAAATGAACTGCACTTAGGGAGCAAACAAACTTGACTTCAACTGAACCGAACCAAACAGGGCAGGTGTGAAAGCATTTTTTTGCACGAGGAGGGACAGAACTTAAGTATTTCAGAAGCTTAAGGTTTAGCTGTTGCCTATGTCAAGTTTGTGACTATTTATTATTTGTTTTGCTGCTTAAATGTCTTGTGATATTTGCTGCAGTGACATTACTGCTCTTACTGCATTACTCT